GTTCATTCACACAGACCCCGATCAGAGCGTGGGTCCCATTCAAATGAGCTCTGCGGCCTGGGGAATTTCACTTTTCATATGCCAAAAATCTCCGTCCACGACCCGATGAACTTTTTCCGGGGGCTAGCAAAAAATCGAAAGAGCGGTACAGCCTCGGGCAGTTGAAGTCCAAAGGAAAACTGATATGGGTCATGCCGCAGGTATAACATCATTCCATTATTTGAATGTCCAACATGGGCTACCGTTGCTGGGACTTTGTTGTGCATATAAGTCTGCACGGGAAGAAACTACATAGATCTTTAATAAAAAAGAGGTACAGAACTAATATGGTTCTAAGTGATCTAAGAAATCCAATTATTTATTTTATATTTTAAACACATTAAAGTCCATTTGTGATTGATTACTGATTTCTCTTTTTTTCTGTGTGGTTCTGATCCTGGACAAAGAAGCCCCTTGTTGGCCATTCCGTGGTCGTCGCGGGTTGTCAATGTTGGCTGTCAGTTTTGTGCTGCCGCCTGACAGGCCTACAAGCCGAAAAACTTGGCTAACTGGCCAGCCCCGGCATGTGCCCGGCATTCGGATTCGGATTCGAAATCAGAATCGCAGGTCTACCAAGATGATCTTGGGAACATCACCTACATCGCTCACCACAACGCGCCACTTACCGGAGTGTGCCAATTTCCAGCGGCCACACACTCCATTAATCAAAGCCGGCCGAATTGGACAATGGCCGAAAGCTAGCCGACATATTGGAGTTGTTCACAAATCATAACCGCAAAAGTTTTGCCAACGTACTGACACATTTTTGTTGGCCCGAGCCGAGGCCAGCGAGCATTTGGTAATTACGGATGGGAAGTGGCTATAAATTAACCTTAATTGAATGCATTTGACAGAGCAGCAGCAGCTGAGACTGAGTCTGAGGTGGCTTGTGGGAGACGGGCAATGAACTGGAGCAAAGTCTAATAAGGCCAATTAGAGCCAGGGCTTGCTCCCTTCCTAGCCATTATCATTAGCCCATTTCCCTGGCAGGGCACTTGTTGTCGTGGCTTCTGTGGCCATTGTTGCTGCCTTGTCAGCTAAAAAGTGAATCTGCCGGCCAAAACTTCACTTTCCATTACGAGTGCAACGGCAGTCGCAAATCCCAGAGCCACTGGCGGCTTCTTTTGTTGGCCAGGCACAAATTACTTCGATTTAATAACAACCATTGTGGTCCGGACTCCGGAGCCGGCGCTCGATCATTTCAATTGGTACTAGGTGTTTATAGGGAGTCGTGACAAAATGCTTTGACCGATCTGAAAAATTGGTACAGCTTGAACCTCTGAAAAGCCTCTGACATTTGAGTCAAGTGGATTATTGCAGGAGTTGCTCGAACTCGTTTGGGGCTGGGTCAGCGAAAGCAATCGAACTGAACCTCTGGGGGTCGAGCAATCGATCAGAGCAGGCTGGGTAATGAAAATGCACAGGCTCACAGAAAGCATCCTCTGTGTCATCCTCTGTCACTTTCTTTTTCAATCACAGGATGGAATTTCCAGGTGGAATTCCTGCCAGAAACATATGCTAATTTGGCTAGAAAGTAAATGCACATTGTGCATATCTAATTGTCCGCCCCCGCGACACGCTCCACCGAGGAAGATCCAAGCAAGTGAAATCTCCCAAATATGGCAACTGCAACTGCAACTGCTCAAGCTCCAAAGTCAAATGCGAGTCGAGTCACTTTGATTTGACCACAAAAACAGCAAAAACTGTATGGAGATTGCAAAAGAGACGGGGGCCGCAATAAAGCACGTAAATGTGTTGGACCTGGCCGCTATTGTTGGCCGATTGCCCATATAAATACTCGACTTGAATTTACAGCATAAATTTGTGCAAATCTTTTTCGGCGACTTTTATGTGCCACCGATGTGGCTGTGGCGGCCAAAAATCCAAAAAGCGAATTGCCCGCAATCGGGCCAGCATTTAAGCAAATTAGTAACATATATGAGGGTTCATTCTGGCCCGGCATATGCCTCCAAAGCGGGAATACAACTGGAGCATGCCGGGCCAGACACCGGACCTGTGGCCGGCCTTTCACTGCTTTTCCAGCTGTCGCCCCATTGTGGCCGCCGTCGCGGTATTGTTTGATAAACGCGAAGATAGCACTGGAATTGAGAGAAAACATTCGGAGACACGGTGTAAACAGCATTCATATCTCCGCCTGATCTAGTTTGAGCGATCGGACAGGCTGGAAACAAACAGTGGTGATCCTAATCGCCGACAGGAGCTCCGCCAGTGGCTCGGCCTGACCCATTGTCCCGGCTTGACCATTCAATTGGCGCAGCAGGTGGAGCCCCAAGCCCACAAATATCATTGAAATAAGTCGAATTCCAAGCCAACTCTAGAGCGAAATTAATTCTTAAAGATATAGAATCTATCTAGTTATCCCACTTTCCAAGTCATTGTTAAGGTTACCACCAGAGACTCCAATTGGTAAGGCCCACAAGCAATCAGACTGCTGAATAAATAAGGTCGGATTGTATAATAATCAGAGGGGCTTAAGTGTTATATCACGACTCCGTAGGAATCTAGAATTGTATACGCATTCGATGGGGTAACGCTCTTCCACACGCATTTCCAGATTCCCGGAGTCTTGTTAAGTAGCGAACGATTATCGCCGCTGCCTGGCCCGCAATCATAACCGGACCATAATTAATACGTGTGCCCTGGGCAACTGGCACCCAGAAACACCCCCCAGCCAGGGCGGCTCCAGAGAAATGTGAGACCGGCCCCTTCGAATGTGTATTTCATATGCTAATTAGATGTACTCGCGGCCACTTAACAGAGCACCGATACAGATCTCAGTCGGCTAATTGCTGGTCACTGGCCACATGCATTTTGTGGGTTAACAGGTGACGTGGATGGAAATATGAATGTGGAGTCGAGGTTGAAGACTCCGACTCGGAAGGCGGAAGACTCGAAACAGAATTTCCCTATGACCGCTAGTGCCAGGTGCCACGCCCCCACGCTGGAAAGCGGTATTTTGAAGAACAAACGAATAATTAGCATGAAGAAATGATTGCACTAATTGTGGCATGAGAAATCCAAACGGAGTTCTCCATGCCGCATTGCTATATAGCTATAGAGCTGCTTGCTGCAAAGTGTGGGAAATGCAAGCGATCTTTCATTAGTTGTCTCATTAATGGGGGAGCTGGGCCCCGGGCAAGATTTTGGCTAATTTGGGCAGGCGGCTCCATAAATTATGCAATCTGAGTGAACGAACTGCAGTCTGCATCCGAGAGCCAGCCATAAGGGAACGGTAGAGTCGGATTCGGATTCGGATTCGTAGTCAAAGTAGGATGGCTCTTTGAAGCGCCGCCTGGCATTCTCACATTTGTCAACACAGTTGGCAACAGAGTTGCAGGAATTTGAAACCGGACAAACCGTGTTTTAATACCGAATTCAAATAGGGTACTCCGCCTCGGAGGCTGCCTCCAAAATTAATGATTTTTGGCGGATTAACTTGTGATCGAATCCTCCGAACCCATTAGAGTGAGCCTAAGTTGGAAAGCCAGCATTATTTTGATAAATTTCTTAATTTTAGGGAATCGGTTTTCCTTAATTCGTGTTTGTTTATGGCTCGGCCAGGGAATAGAAACTTCGACTCGGCGGATTCAAGTGGATTTACGGGCTGTTCCCCGGTTTGATCTATGAACGTGTCCACAGTTGCCACTTGCCAGGCTGCCAGCACATAAATTCCCTCGGCAGCACCGCCAATCGTTCATCGATTCACCACAGCAGCAGCAGCACCCAGTCGGAGCAGCTGAGGATCGTGGCTGGAAGTGGAAATGGAAATGGAGCCATAGAGCATCGATCCCCGTGTTCATTTGCACATCGAGCTGGCAATTTCACAGATTTATCATCTTTACATTTTTTTTATCGTTCGGCAAAAAAAGAAAAACCGAATTTATTAATACACCAAGTGCGAAGTCGGCACTGAAAATAAAAAAACCAGTTTCAAGGCCAGAAATTTATGACTTTCCTGGGCTTAGAGCTTAAAATCAAGTGGGTCTTAGTCCAGTGGAGCTTGAAACTTGGAACTCGGAGCTGGGAGGGACTAGGATGGGGCTCATAAGTGTTTACGCACGTTGCCGTTAGCCCAATTCACTTTTAACGCAGATGCTTGGCACGCCCCCTGCTTAGGTTTGAGGCGGAATTAAATTCACACTGGCTTGGCGTACCTAATTGGATAGATCAGAGATCTGGCGAGGACCCGGATAAGTTGTTGACTTATCGCGTGCCGAGATGCCATCGCCATCAGTTGCACTCGCGACTTGCGAGTGGTTTAGTGGATGTTCCGAGCTGGAGATAGAGTCGGAGATGCGAACCGAAACCCGGGACAACCTAGGCTTAGGCAAATAAATTGCCAGCTGCCGGAGGCGCGGATCTCCTTGGCATGCAAATGGCGATCAAGATCGCGATGTTTGCGTGGCCTGTTATGAGTCAATCAGACGCCTGCCTACATTGTCACCATCACTTGGAGCGGATAGGATCGCAGGAGCACTCGTTCTGGCGGGACTCGATAGCTGCCTGCAGCGCCGATGGAAGATGGCTAGATGGGCGCTGGAGATTGTCGCGATTGCATCATAAAATTTAACTGCCCCGCCGGCCAATTCCAGGTCCAAGCCAAGTCAAAGTCATTGCATAAATTGGCAGCAACAGCAGCAGCAAAAGCAGCAGGAGCAAAAGCAGAAGCAGGAGCTGTTGCATCTATCGATGGGATATGGGTTGTGGTGGATGTGGCAATGGCAGCGGCATTTGATGGGGCTTATAAGGCGCCGCTTAGGCAAAAAAGGGGCAGCACCAAATGCCACTGCCGCCTCCCGGTCCAGCTGCGCCATTCAGCTGTCCACTTGGCCAAGATGTTTATGAGTTGACGAAGACAGGGAGCCTGGCCCTACCGGTGGGTCCTTCTTTCATAATTCCCCATATGAGCCGGCCAAAAACACACTCTGCATACTGCATACCACATCAGGATCATTTACTAGCCGAATATCAAAGATTAAAGAAGCCGCTAGGGTCATTTCTTTGGCGCCATCTTCGTGGGTCCCCACAGCTGCATATCGGCGGAAGCGTCCTTAACCAGGGGAGCAATCTGCTTAAAGGCCTTGTGATTCTTGTCTCCCAATAAATTGAAGATAATGCTCTCCGAGCTGGCGATGTTACAACCGATGTGACGCAATCGCTCCAGGGCCAAATCACGATCCTGATTAATCCGCGAGGCACAGCAGTCGGCCACCAACCAAACATCAATCTTTTCGTTCAGCAGATCAAATGCAGTTTGTTCGATGCACACATGGGTCTGGTATAGAAGAGAATCATTAATACGAAATAAAAAAGCCCTACAAGATTTAATTTAGGACTGCCATAGCCCACTCCAACAACTTCAATAAAACCAATATTAATTATACACTCTTGAAATTACGCACCTCCATGCCGAACAGCACTGCCGTCTTCGGCTTCCCACCGTAGATATCGGCCATGCTTTTGCGGACCGGGTCCACCAGCATGGAGAAGCGGGTCTTGGCCACTTTGAGGCAGGCATGTTCGATGTCCAGCTCGCAGACGGTCTTGCCCAGCCTTTCGGGATACTGCTCGGTGACCAGTAATGGCACCTGGAAAACCTTGCCCGCTGCCAGCTGGAATGCGAATTAGCATTAGAACACGCCCATTATCCTGTCACTTTTGCCGTCTTACCAGCTTAGCGGTGTTTTTTATCAGAGAATCTATCAGCGGAATTGCGGGTCTAAACTTTTCCTGGATGTCGCACAGCAGGAAGACCGTTTTGTCTGGCACTAAGCGGTAAAGTGACGCTTTTCCCATGATGGATACCAATTTTTGTTTATTTTTGTCCAAAAAATAAATCTGACGGGCTACTGAGTTTGAATCTTGCGCCCACTGGAGCGAGAGCCATCTGGCGGCTGGTGGAGAAACTGTACTTTAGTGTTGCAAAATGTAAGGAAGTACTAGCTCGACAAAATTTGAACTTTTTTTTAAGAGGCAGAAGTGTTTAAAATAACCATTTATCCATGTAATAATTTAAATTAGTTAGTTAAAATTCTAAAAAACATGTTTTTCAAAATCCTGACTGATTTAAGAACATTAAACTAGCTATAAAATGGCTAAAAATCACCACAAAAAGGGCCAGACCGCCAGCTGCTGAGTGTTTTGCTTCCCATGCCAGTGGGACATTTTGCTGTGGACATTTTCGAGTAAATAAAACGCCGGAAGGGAATTTTAGTGGCGATTTGCGCATTTCTAGAGATCTATTAATAAAACCGGACTATCTTGTCAAAATACGAACCAATTAATGATATCAGACACGTGTTACGTTGTTTCTGCCCTCGCCACAGCCGGCTAAGAGAGACGGAAGCACGTTGAAAGAGGTAGCCCCACTCTCCAGTCTTCGAAGCCAAAGTCAAGGAGTTTACTAAGTCTACAACCAAATCACTGCCTAAATTATTAATAACAGGTAAGAGATGCCTTCAACACACCTATTTTTACGTAAATTCTTGCAGATCCGATTGTTTCATAACCAGCTCTCACCTGGCGCCAGCCGATGCTACAGTGTGGGTGGGTGAGGTTATTTTACAGCAACCACCAGTTGCTGCACCAGCAAGGGAAAACAAAAACAAAAGCCCACGAAGAGCTGTGGAGATACCGCCCCTCGTTTCAATAAATTTGCCATGTTCTTGGCACAGGACCAATGCAAAAGTTCCTGTCATGCCGTGGGCCCAACTAATTGCAGCCGCATAAATTAACCAGCACTCAAAATTGCCTAATAATAATGTGCGGTGACAGATAAGCTAGGCGATTAATTACTGGGGTCCGCTAGCTAGCCCCTCCACAGCCCCACAGACCTACAGATGTCAACAAGAAAATTCAACGTCAGCAGCCGAAGCCTTTATCAATAGGCAAGAGCAGAGCAGTCAGTCGACTGAGGCAGAAACAGAGCAGCACCGGCCAGTGTGTCAGATTGAATTAATCGCCAATGTCTAGTCGATTCCACGGCAAATGCCTCTTTACCGGCCTCCTCACCTCCGAGGGATTGTACACTGCTAGAAATCCTATCCATTTACAAAAAGCCCTTCTCTTACTTTGTAAGACCCAATTATTATCTGACAATTATCACCGAAATGGTCATAAAAAGTATGATAAGATAAGTTAATTCAAGAAAAAGATTATAGCCTAGTTTGGATAAAATATCAAATCGTACAAATAGGTTTAGTTTCAAATAATCATGAAATGTTTAGCCAGTTAATCCGATGATTGTTTTTGACCAAGTGACCAAGTCACTTGGTAAACAAAAAATGTGCCAAAATAATTGGATTAATTTTTCATGTGTAACGCCGGCGTGCTGCTCTCACCACTTTCGCTCTCACAATCGCCCCAAAACCCGAAATCGTTAAAACTCTTTCGACGCCCCAAGCCCACGGCCAGAGCAGCGTGCGCCACGTTCAGTTTCTCAGTGATCCGTTCGCCTGGCGGACGTAGCCAAGAAGCGTTGAGAGCTTTGAAACCTGCGGTGGTGCGGTTGCGTTCGATTAATAACTGATAAATTGCCAGCGATTCGCTGGCCGTGCTCCATTGGCAGCCAAGAAGTGTGGAAACAGCCTCGTCCGATTCCGGCCACTAATAATTCTTGCTCTATTCTTGCCAGTTACAGTACAAACCGTAGAGAGATGAGTCTGCAATCGATCAAATACTCGCGGGGAAGCCTGGACATCCTCGACCAGCTGCTGCTGCCCGTCCAGTCCAAGTATGTGGCCGTCCGCGGCGTGGAGGACGGCTGGAAGGTCATTAACAAAATGCAGGTGAGTCCCAAAGGATAAACGACCCTGGGCCGAATCTGCCGCCCAAATGCCCACTAATGACAAATATTCGTGGCATCCATTAAAATTCTTATTGGTACATTTCTTAATCTGAGCAATGATCACTCGACGTTTGTCGTTTGTCGGTTGTCGCTTGTCGTCTGTCTCTTGTGCGACTATAAATAACGTAATTGAAATTAAAAATTTTTTAAAAACGCTTGCCAAAAATAAAACTACTCCTTGCACGTCACTTGGCGAATGGCTCTTGGTGGGCTAATGCCCCCGGACACTTCATTCAGCCTCATTTGGACCGTTTAGGTTGGGAACACGTGCCTTATCACGCGGAACTCCCGACATTATGAAATGTAAAATGTTTACCGCGTCTTTCTTTTTTTTGCTCCGTCATCTGATAAACCCACCAAGGTCACAAGATCTCTTATCATCCCGGCCTTGTCTAAATACTTGCCAAAAGCTTCCTCGGGTTGTTGTTAACAACTAGTCCTGAACTAAACCAAGTCCCCTAGTACCAAGTCCACCCTGACTAGAATCGGCAATGCTTAGTTAGCGATTTAGTTCGACGTAATTGTACTATTTATAATCCGAACAATTAAAAACTTGTAGAAAACACCTCATCATGCCATTGGCATCCACTATGTCTTTCACTTTTTAAGGTAAGAGGTGCCCCCGCCATCGCCATCGTGGGATGCCTTTCCCTGGCCGTGGAAATCTACCCCGAGGAGTTCGAGAACAAGAAGAGGCTGCGCCAGGAGGTGGAGGGAAAGCTTAACTACTTGGTTTCCGCTCGACCCACGGCGGTCAACATGAAAATCGCCGCGGATGAGCTGTTAGCCCTGGCCAACGACCTCACCAAGGACGAGACCATCGACGTAGCCGCCATGAAGGACAGGTAACTTCCAACGTCGCTAAGCAAGCAACCCAAGCCCAAGGCGACGCCAACGTTTACCATGTTACTTTAAAGATTCCTGAATGCCACCGAGGCGATGCTCGAGAAAGACATTGCCGATAACCGAGCCATCGGAGCACATGGCGCCAAGGCGATTCTGAAGCGTGTGGCGGAGACGGCCGGCGCTCCAACTGGTACGACGGGACCAGTGCGGGTACTCACCCACTGCAACACGGGCTCCCTAGCCACCGCCGGATATGGAACGGCTCTAGGAGTAGTGCGTCAGCTGGCCGAACTGGGAAAACTGGGTAAGCGTTAATAATTTCAGCCTGATATTGGAGGTTCCTTGAATATCATTTAAATTATTGACTAATGTATTCCAGAGCACGTGTACTGCACAGAAACCCGTCCGTACAATCAGGGAGCTCGACTCACAGCCTATGAACTGGTGCACGAGAAATTCCCAGCCACCTTGGTCCTGGACAGCATGGTGGCGGCTCTTCTGCGGGCCAAGAATGTGGCTGGAGTGGTGGTCGGAGCTGATCGGGTAAATATAGAAGCATAATGAACATGATGAAGCCTGGACTTACTTTATAACCTTTCCTTCAGGTGGCTGCCAATGGCGACACGGCCAACAAAATAGGCACCTACCAAATCGCGGTTGTGGCCAAGCACCACGGTGTGCCCTTCTATGTGGCCGCCCCACTAACCTCCATTGATCTGGCCATACCGGGCGGCGACCACATCATTATTGAGGAGCGACCGGACCGGGAGATGACGCACGTGGGAGAGCACCGCATCGCTGCGCCAGGCATAAACTGCTGGAACCCCGCCTTCGATGTGACACCCGCTAGTCTGATCACCGGCATCATTACAGAGCGAGGCGTGTTCAAGCCGGAAGAACTGAAAGAGGCGATCACCAAGCTGCTCGAGTCATAACAGGCGAACAGAATTTGTTTTGTTTACAAATGCACTCCATACCCCCTAAAAACAGAAACCGCAAAAAACAAGAGCACACTCATGCGCTCGGAATAGGCATTTTGCCAGCCGAGTTTTGTATACAAACGTGTTCTCGTTGGTAGTGCCGCCTGCTTAGCAGATGTGGGTCTACCGATGGGAAAATAGAACGCACAATATACCTCCTACATATGTAGCCCCATTTTCCAGTTGTTCCCCCAGGGGCATTGTTTCCTCCGCTTTAAAGCGGCTTGGGTTTTCAGCATAGCCAGTCAGAAGTTACCAGGCGCGCCATGGAACCACAACCGATGCTCATCCTCCTCTTCCTTGTGCTCGGGTTCGGCCAGTGTTTGTGCAATAGAGGTCTAAATGTGGAAAACAACTACCGGAACATGAAGGTGCGCCTGGCAACCGATCGCCCCAGTCGCGGAGCGGTCCAAGTGCTGCGGGAAGGGCGCGTAGAGGTAAGCTTTGATTTTGGCGCGACATGGGGAACTATCTGCAGCACTACTTGGAGCATGCGGGAGGGTAACGTAGTGTGCCGCCAGCTGGGATTGGGGTATGCCTCCAAGGCCATTCAAAGCACGGAGCACGGGAACAGCAAGAAGCATCCTTGGGGAATGGTAGGAACTCTTTGTCGTGGCAACGAGCGCCGTCTGGCGGACTGCACGCGGGAGTCCCACTATCCTAACCTTTGCAACGCACGGAATCCGAACGTTACGGTTGTGTCCTGTGTGAGCTATTCGGCTGATCTTGAAATTGGACTCCGGGACATAGAAAGGAGCGCTCGACTGGAGGCGGTGCCTATGTCGCGGCTCACCTGCGCCATGGAGGAGCACTGTGTGTCTGCCGACGCGTATGAGATCCGAAGGACTCAGCCCAACGCCGAGAGGAAACTGCTACGTTTCTCTGTCAAGGCCAGCAATGTGGGCACGGCTGACGTGAGCCCGTATGCCAACTACAAGGATTGGGTGTGGCACCAGTGCCACAGACACTATCACAGCATGAACGTGTTCGCCACCTTTGATGTATACGACCTGAAGTACAAGAAGGTGGCCCAGGGGCACAAAGCTTCCTTCTGCCTGATGGATTCCGAGTGTCGGCCCGGCATCCGCAGCAAGTACACCTGCGGGAACACAACCCAGGGTAAGTTCAAAACAATGCTCTCAGGTTCTTAATTAAAATCCTTCTTTTCAACAGGTATTTCGGTCGGTTGCGCTGATGTATACACCGATGTCCTGGACTGCCAATGGGTGGACGTAACCACAGTGCCCGTCAACCGGCGCTACATTCTACGTGTGGCTCTCAACCCGGAATACAAACTCGGAGAGATCTCTTTTGAGAATAATGGAGCCGAATGTTTGCTCGATTACACGGGCGTCCACAAAACCACCAGGATTTATAACTGCAGAAGGTCTCCTTTGTGGTTTAAGATATGATTTTTAAAATAAGATTTTTAATATCAATTTTAAGGTTTTGAAATTTTCTGATATTTCCGTGGTGAATGTTAGTCAACGTTGCATACTTTTGGACGAAAAATGTATCTTGTTTAATGTAAGAATTTAAGTAATACCAGAAAAGAAAGATAACTTCGGGCGGAGCCGAAGTGATATACCCCGGCGGTTATAATCAGATATTTATCGCATATGGTACGCCGATCCTTATATAAATGTAAAATATAAACCAAGTTATTAGAATAAAAAACTTAAAAATATGTCCCAAGCTTCAAAAATACGTAAGTTGGCATTTTTACCAAATATATGGCTGCATCCCACAGTAATGGCTGTATATTCCCCAATTCTCAAGCGGAGTATCTTAAACGAATTCTGGATCGATCCTCCACCAATCTGCATCAAAATCCTGAGACCAAATATTTTTTAGATTTTTTTTCCATTTTTCCTGATGGATCCCTTGAAATCCCTTGAAAATGGGATTTTTTCCTATAGGGTCCACGGTGATGGCTATATCTTCCCCAATTCTTATCCGATTCTGCAGCGGAGTACCTTAAACGATTTCTGGATTTTGCATCAAAATCCTGAGACAAAATATTTTTTAGATTTTTTGTCCATTTTTCCTGATGGATCCCTTGAAAATGGGATTTTTCCTATAGGGTCCACGGTGATGGCTATATCTTCCCCAATTCTTATCCGATTCTCAAGCGGAGTACCTTAAACGATTTCTGGATCGATTCTCCACCATTCTGCATCAAAATCCTGAGACAAAATATTTTTTAGATTTTTTGTCCATTTTTCGTGAGGGGATCCCATGAAAATGGAGTTTTCCCCTGTGGGGTCCACAGTAATGCCTATATCTTCCCCAATTCTTATCCGATTCTCCAGCGGAGTACCTTAAACGATTTCTGGATTGATTCTCCACCATTCTGCATCAAAATTCTGAGACAAAATATTTTTTAGATTTTTTGTCCATTTTTCGTGAGGGGATCCCATGAAAATGGAGTTTTCCCCTGTGGGGTCCACGGTGATGGCTATATCTTCCCCAATTCTTATCCGATTCTCAAGCGGAGCACCTTAAACGATTTCTGGATTGATTCTCCACCATTCTGCATCAAAATTCTTAGACAAAATATTTTTGAGATTTTTTGTGCATTTTTCCTGATGGATCCCTTGAAAATGAGATTTTTCCCTATAGGGTCCACGGTGATGGCTATATCTTCCCCAATTCTTATCCGATTCTCCAGCGGAGTACCTTAAACGATTTCTGAATTGATTCTCCACCATTCTGCATCAAAATTCTGAGACAAAATATATTTGAGATTTTTTGTCCATTTTTCCTGATGGATCCCTTGAAAATGAGATTTTTCCCTATAGGGTCCACGGTGATGGCTATATCTTCCCCAATTCTTATCCGATTCTCCAGCGGAGTACCTTAAACGATTTCTGGATTGATTCTCCACCATTCTGCATCAAAATTCTGAGACAAAATATATTTGAGATTTTTTGTCCATTTTTCCTGATGGATCCCTTGAAAATGGGATTTTTCCCTATAGGGTCCACGGTGATGGCTATATCTTCCCCAATTCTTATCCGATTCTCCAGCGGAGTACCTTAAACGATTTCTGGATTGATTCTCCACCATTCTGCATCAAAATTCTGAGACAAAATATTTTTGAGATTTTCTGTCCATTTTTCCTGATGGATCCCTTGAAATCCCTTGAAAATGGGGTTTTTCCCTATAGGGTCCACGGTGATGGCTATATCTTCCCCAATTCTTATCCGATTCTCCAGCGGAGTACCTTAAACGATTTCTGGATTGATTCTCCACCATTCTGCATCAAAATTCTGAGACAAAATATATTTGAGATTTTTTGTCCATTTTTCCTGATGGATCCCTTGAAAATGGGATTTTTCCTATAGGGTCCACGGTGATGGCTATATCTTCCCCAATTCTTATCCGATTCTCAAGCGGAGTACCTTAAACGATTTCTGGATCGATTCTCCACCATTCTGCATCAAAATCCCGAGACAAAATATTTTTTAGATTTTTTGTCCATTTTTCGTGAGGGGATCCCATGAAAATGGAGTTTTCCCCTGTGGGGTCCACAGTAATGCCTATATCTTCCCCAATTCTTATCCGATTCTCAAGCGGAGTACCGTAAACTATTTCTGGATTGATTCTCCACCATTCTGCATCAAAACTCTGAGACAAAATATTTTTGAGATTTTTTGTCCATTTTTCCTGATGGATCCCTTGAAATCCCTTGAAAATGGGGTTTTTCCCTATAGGGTCCACGGTGATGGCTATATCTTCCCCAATTCTTATCTAATTCTCCAGCGGAGTATCTTGAACGATTTGTGGATTAATTCTCCACCATTCTGCATCAAAATCATGAGAAAAAACATTTTTTAGATTTTTTGTCCATTTTTCGTAAGGGGATCCCTTGAAAATGGGATTTCGTGAGGGGATCCCTTAAAAATGGTGTTTTCCCCTATAGGGTCCACGGTGATGGCTATATCTCCCCCAATTCTCATCCGATTCTCAAAATCCTGAGACAAAATATTTGTAAGATTTTTTGCTCATTTTTCGTGATTGGAACCCACCCTGAAAATGGGGTTTCCCCTATAGTAAAGGTGGTATGTCATACCACAAGAAGAGCCATCTAACGAATTATTTCTTCAAAATAGGCGTGTATACCCTCTCCTAAAACTTAAGTATTGTTTTTAAAAATGTCTTTTTTAATAAAATATCGCAGTTTAGTTAAATATTTCCTTATAAACCATTAAAACACAATAGCATTTAGTTAAATACGTTTATTGTTTTTGAATGTTCTTCTCTTTGCTTTGTATTTTGTATCATTTCGCTTACAGAATATATTTATTTATTTAAGTATGTTTATCTGGTATTTACGATGCTCTATAAATATGCATTTAATTGCTAAAGATAAATATTTCGGCGCTTGCTCAGTTTGGTTTCACTTTATTGTAGTTGTAGTGCTAAATTGGATTGGGGGCTAATGGCGTGTTTTTCATTTTTTTCAGTTTTCGGATTAGCGGCTTTCTTGTGCTGGTAGTAGTTCAATTGCCTTAAAATTTGCTAGTTGTGCCTAAAATGAAATGAATGGAACCTAAAAATTGCACTCGGCATCTCTAAAACTGCCAATAATTTCAATTTCAATATTAATTATTCATTTTCAATATTAACATAATAAATTCTCCAATTGTTTTGCTCTCCTTTCGGTTTCTCATTTTTTGTTGCTAATTACAAAAGGCCTACGCTACGTTTACACAAAACTTAGACACTAGGTGACATCGATATCTCAATGAATTAGCATTAGTAACCATAACTTGTTGTTAATTTTATTGCATGACGAAACAAATATCAGTGACAAGGCCTCCCATCGGAGCCTATAGGCCAACTTAAACTTAGGCAACAGAAAAGGGTCAAAGAACGATACGAAAAGCGTAGCAAAAGTGTGCGGCAATAAAAATTAAAAGTCGTATAAATAATTATATTTTGTTTAATGTACAATCCACATACGTATGCGTAAACAACTACATATCTTATGTACTTGCTTAGGTAGTAGCTTGTATCATGTGTTAAGTATTTGTTTAAAATGCATTCAAGTTTTCGAGTATTCATGTCATTTTCTTAACTTCCTTACAAACGCTAGCTAGAACATCTCCTCCAACGCTGTCGTCCACCGTTGAGCACAAACTACTTTACAAAATTACATATTACTCTGTCTGCCTTGTGCTTAGATAGTGCTTCTTCGGTTATCCTGCTTATGCTGATGATGGTTTTATAGGTGATCGATTTTTTTTCAACATTTAAATAGCCTTGTTTATAAGTAACATTGTTTGCGGGTGCTGTGACAGACTGGCGGCCAATTCGAGGTGCAGCTTTCTTAAACGTTGGTTCCTTAGTTTGGCGTATATGCCCTAGAAGCGGCATTAGCTCTCGAAGTGGTAGGGTGAGCGGGCTTTATGCAACCACAATTTCAATTAAGTAACGCTCTAATGTGTGCTTCACTGTAAGTGTGGAGAGTCTGAGTCTGGTGTGGTGTGGAAACATTTATAAATTTATGCATGTATTTATGTAGTCATTGAAATGAGCTCGCAATTTCCTTAGAAAACTTTATGTAAAAGTACAATTTGAAAAATGGTTTTGCGCGTCAACTGAGTAAGAAACCGCTATCGGTTCTGGGTTTGTAATTGCGTTTTGGTCATGTTGTCCATGACCTAAGTTGTGCTATGATGTTCATTTGCTTCATTTGTTGAATACCCCGGCGTCTGGGGTAACTGTGCGCAAATTGTGCTATGTGTTGACGTCCTCATCTGGCGTCCGTTTAGAGGACTCTTCCACTGATCTATGCTATCAGCTCTCCACAGTCGTGGAGGACACGCTGTGACTAGTAGTTAACAGATGTTCGGGAATGGGTATGGGCTGCGTGCGAGCTGGTTGCTTCTTCTACAATATTAAATCAATATTAGTATTTGATAAAGAAACTTGTAAGTATTAATACTCACCTTCCGACGGAAGGGGAAACAGCCCGCCTTGTCCGGTTCGGGTATTGCGTTGATCTGCAAGTCTGGCGTGGGACACTCCTCCGGACCAAAGACGTTCAGCTCCCGAAAACATTCGGTTTCCATCATTTCATTCTGCCAGGATATCGACACAGAGCCCGTATTGAATTTCGTGTAGAAATTGGTGTCGGACTCATCGATATTGACGCCCTTCACCGTCGAGAACTGTTCAATATCGAGCACATCTTTGGCATAAACGGCGTGCGGCTGATGGGGGATTGGAAAGTGATTTAAGTTAGCGTTTCGAAATGGAATTTTCAATACCATGCACATCGGCGTATGCAAATGAATCAACTCACGTCTGGCACAAAGGGCGGATCCAGCATACCAGCCTCCAGGCGGCGCCAGTTCAGCTGGGTGGAGTGGAAAAACGGGTGGGCCATCACATCCTGCGCACCCATGCGCCCGTTCCGGCAGCCCAGGCGCTGCTTTATCGATTTAGCTAACAGCTGTTGGCACATAGATTTGGCTTCATCACTAAACTTGCTCGAATACTTTTCGGGATCCTCCTGCAAAGCCACAAACGAAAAAAGGTCATTATAATGCATATTTATGCAGTGAGGAGCCAAGTCTTATTGAATTGTAAGTAAACTCAGTGCATACCTTAACACGTCTGTCCACCTCCTCGCGCTTGACCTTCTCCTTCCGCATTCGGAACGGCGCTTGGCCCTCGATCATCTCGTACAGCAGGCAGCCGTAGCTGAACCAGTCCGGCGAAAAGGCATACTTCTCGTTGTTGATGACCTCGGGAGCCATGTAACCTAGTTAACGGAATCAAGGCATAATAGGGCTCAGTCAGACTGCTCAACGACATCAAATTCAATCAATTTAGAGACTCACCCACTGTGCCCACCCGGCCGTGCACCATCTCGCCCTCGGGTATCTCCACGGCCAGTCCTAGGTCGGAGATTCGAACATGGCCATGGTCGTCCAACAGGATGTTCTCCGGCTTGCAGTCCCTATAGACGATGCCCTGCTTGTGCAGGTGCTGCAGCCCGCAGCCCACCTCGGCCGCGTAGAAGCGGGCACGTTCCAGCTCGAATCCCGGTTCACCGCCCATATTGTAAATGTGGAATTTCAAATCGCCGCCTGAAAATGGAATGCACATGTGATTGTCTTTTCCGAACAATGACAGCCCCGCTGGATGCCTGACTGACTGCCTGGCATTGGCTTTGATATTCAAATTGAATTAGGTCCTGGATTGACGGACGGACTTATCCAGTGGAGATGCTTTTGTTCTGCAGTGGAATTTAATTAAAATCGTAAACTCAATCATCGCGGGGATAACACATGCATTTGTCATCGCTTTAATGGACGTATGCAAATGTGGGATTCTCAGATAATTGGCAGCGAAGGACAACGGACCGGACTCCACTCTGGGCAAGTGGAACGAATGGAGAATAACAGGATTAACCGATAAAAAGACTCAGCACTTAATTAACTCTAACTGGATGACCAGCGACATCCATGTCAAGAATGCCAACGGGCATTTGAGGTAACTGGATAATACCCACCATTCATTATGGTCAGCACCAGGCAGAGGGCGTCCTTGGTCTCGTATGCGTAGGCCAGATTAACCACGAACGGTGAGTTGATTTTCTGCAGAATCTGCTTCTCGATTAACACCATGGACTCGCCCTTGCGCTTCTTGATGCGTTTTTTCTCCAGCTTTTTGCACGCGTACATTTTACCAGTGGCCCGCACCTGTGCAACAAAAATGATAGGAGGTGTGGGTGGGGATGCTAACGAGGTTATATGGCCACAGGTGGCGAGCTCACGGCTTACCTGACAGGCGCACACCTCGCCGAAGCCGCCCTTGCCAAGGACTCGGTACATGCGAAACGTTTTATAGGTGATTGGCTGGGCCTCCAACCACTTCCACTGCAAGTATCTGAAATGGAACCAATATGTAAGGTGATGCTTATGAAATGTATCTCTTTTTTATAAAGGTGGGAGATTCATTTTGATTTCACTTACCGGTGAAAGTACATAGAGTTCTCAAACTCCCGAAACGGTTCTCCAGCCAGAAAAGACTTCACTGCGTTCACGCACTGGGCAAAGATGTCCTTGCCGCCGCTGTTCAGTTTGGTACGCACTTGCGCTATGAGATCATCGTTGAGCACGTCCAGAACGAGTTCGTCGGCAGATCCCCCGCAGGTGGTAGTGCCATTCCCGCCGCCACCGTCTTCACCACCACCACCACCGCCGCCGCCATCGCCATCGCCGCTGCTCTTCTCCGGACCATTGTCCTCGTGGCTGTCCAGGCATTCGACTCCTTCGTCGCCGTCGTCATTACTACCATTCCCGGTGGCGTCGTCCCCATTGTGGTTGCGCGTGTCCAGCTTCTTGTGATTGATGCTGCTGCTGTGCGAGTTGGTGCTGCTCTTGCTGTTGATGTTGTTGCAGTTGTTGGCGGTGGTATTGTTGCAGTTTTCAGTCTCAGCTGTTTCAGTTGGATTGGCATTGCTGCTGTTGAGTAGCAGCTCCTCCTGCGCCTCAGCGTCCAGGGCATCCCCACCACCACCGTTGCGCAGCTCCAGCTGCGGCTCGATGTCCAGAAAGCGGCGCCCGATGTCATGGCCAATGAATATCCGGTTCACGATGTACTCGATTTCATATCTGCAATCCGGAAAAACGAATTAGTACTTGGCTTTAAAGTTTCTCCTCTAAAAGTTTACTCACTTGACCACCTGATCCAAGAAGGTTATGTACCGAAAGTAGATGGGCCGCTTGTTCTCGCAGAACTGGCGAAAGAGCTCACGACCAATGGGTTGCTGATCTATCACGTAGCCATAACTTATATCTGCAGAATATTAAAGACATTTACTAATACCCATTGGTATTTCAATAATAATTCCCTTACCTAGTTTGTCTTTTAGGTTGATACATTGCGATATGTGTGGGAATTGCAATATTTTGCGCCATTTTTTGCTCTTTCCCTTGTTGCTGTCGGAACCACCTGGGGGAATGAAATTAAATAAATTTTGAGACAGTTTGCCAAGATGAGGTTGTGTGCAGAGAATACTCAAGTGATTTAATAGTTGCATTGAAAGCCACAATGGACAATTTATGGAAAACAATTTCAATAGAATTTCTAATTCCTATCGTTGCATCAAACGCACACTTTGATTCCTCTGACATACGAGTGCAAAGGTAAAGTGAGTACTTCACCGAGTCAGAGGTGGTGGGGATGAGGGTTCGGACGTGTGCACTGATTGCCACTCCGCATCCCCATCGACAAGCTCTCCTTCTGCCTGGTTTAATGTCATGCTGGCAATTCTGTTTTATTTGCTCTGCCAACGAGCCATAAAAACAATATTTCCAATGTGAATTGCATAAAATGCATCCACATAAACAGACAGAGGGCGAGCACAAATAAACTGCATTGACTGCCAATGCAGCGTTGTGCTCGTCTCTTGATTCCCGACTCGTGACACTCGGAGCGGCTGTTGACACAGACACTGATTGAACAGACCAGAAGTTTAACCAGTTCATATATGTACATGTGTATTGGATGAAATGGCCCCACTCGCTCCACTTTCAAATCCAAGGCAATCAGCCAGACCCGATCAACTTTGGCCATTCTGTTTCATTTTTTTGCGAGCTAGTGACCACAAAAAAAGGCTCATTTCATCTAATAAATCACTATATCAACCAAGGCGCGACTATTTCCAGCTCGTCCCCTTTCTTTCAGAGCTTGGCCAGTCGATAATAGTAAAGCCATAAAATCTAACAAGAAAATTAAGTGGATGGCCGAGCAAAGCGAAGAGTCGAGAACGTTGTCCAGTGAGAGGGCATAAATGTCAGTAACAGTCAAAATCAAGTGCAAAACGCCACAACAAAGTCGAGGAAGTCAGAAACAGAGCCAGTCCAAGTCCAAGAAAAATAGGTTAATGTGTTCACGGGCTCCACTTGCAACAGTTGCGGATGACGGCAAAGGAAGCATATTTTCTCATTTTTAATGAGCTTTCATAAACGGGTATTTTGTGAAACTTTTCTCAACTATGTTTGCATGATTGAATTATTTAAACAGATAGTGTACTTTGCAGAGCTACTTTATTGACCCCAAGTGTGAGCGCTGCCCAAAAATGTATGCTACGCTATTTGCCCAACGACCTATACAGCCCTTTTCTGCAAAAAAGGCGTGGCTCTGACATAAAACTAACCTTGTAATTTGGATTAGCCCGAACAGTTCTCGCTTCAGTGGCTCCAAGCAGGCAGTCGGGTTGGGACTCCAGCAGGAGCGTTGAACGCTGAATGCATATTATGGCACAGTACAGGGTCTGTGGACTACTACCGAGTACCCGTCTCGCCGCAAAGCATTAGCCAGTTATTTATGTTGGAAAACGCAAACGTCTGCTACACAAACTTTGGCCTGGCTTAAAGTTACTTGCGCAGGATCTGGCAGTTCGTGAGCATTTAATTTAGTCTCTGTGCAATTATGCAAAAATAAAGTGAAAACTTTGAAGGGCATTCAGATGTGGGAGCCACCTGAAGGATGAGCAGATGGCTGCCGTCGGTCGCTTGGCTTTGGCTAAATGAAATTAAGGCACAAAAGTTTGGAAAGAGGGAAAAGTTAACCCTAAGCCACTGACTGGTGGCTACGAGGCATTCGTTCAAGGGGTTTACCGAAGTTTGTCCAAGTAACAATTAGCCCGACAGGCCCCGGCACTAAAGCAAATATTTAATGTCTATGCCGAATGCTAGATGGGATTATTGGGGATTAAAGTGGCAAGCTGATGATGCTTTCAGTTTATTAAAATCATGGATTATTAATAGTTGATCAATTAAAGTTTCCAAAACATTTAGACAGCTGCCCTTTCTGTAGACAAGGCCACCACAACCCAACCTGTCCTTCGTTTGGAAAAAGTTTTCTAAAGTTTTTGCAATTATTTGGCGAGGCGTAAAAACCGAAACAACACCACATTTCAATGAATTACTCGAACGAACAATCGGCCAAAGTTGGCCCAGACCCAGAACCAGACCCAGGCACATGGAAATGGCAGGAAGACGAGCGGGAAGTCAAGAAAACATTTTCAAAACAAATAAATCGTATTATGTGAGGGGATTTCTTTTCTGTTCGTTTGGTACATGTGGGCTACCATCCGGCCAAAGGAAGCCACCGAGAAAAGCAAGGGGAAAATCGGAAAAAAAGAAAAGTGCTATAAAAACTTATTAATGAAGCCATCGCAAGGCTAATTTGCGGTTGATGGCTTTTCTAATTAAAACTAATCAATAAGAAAAATTGCGTCCTCATCTGAGCGCCCACTTTCTTGTGGCTTTTTGTCTTGGCCAACCCGTTCGAGCAATTCGAGCGTTTACAAATGCAATTTGTCAGCCGGAGCGACTGACATCTGCAATGTTGCCGGCTAATTGAGTTGCCCAGACGCCACACAGGATAAGGACCCATCACTGGAGCCACGGCAGCAAGAACATGCAAGGGTCTGCGCGGATGCATGCCAGTCCTTTATATTTACGACTCAACAAGTTGACACTAGATTACGTACCAGTTCCGATCCGAAGATGGTTGCACAATAAAAAGGAATTACAATTTATATTAAACTCCCTCTGATTTATCGATTCGCATTAAAAGTTTTTGGAGGAAAAACTTTTATGGTCCCTGGAAATCACAGCCATTACCCCAACAGCGTTCTAGTTATGATCAATTTTCTCGCCGGACGCCAAGAAGTATGTGACATAATTTATAAGTGTCAAGTTATTTCGCTGCCTCTCTCCCCAGCATTAGTGTAATTTGATGTAATTTTTCAGCCTGACGAACATTGGCCGGCAACTGGCCTGAGGAAAGGCGGCCACCAACTGTTAACTGCAATTATTTATGGCCCACTCTCCCATTCTGGGAGACAAGTCGTGGTCCAAGGTTAAGTGCGTGCTAATAAGCTCACGGCCACTGCCTTGGCCCTCGGGGAGCCATAGGAAAGCCTTTCAATTGACAGGGGAAATGTATTATGACGCAGTGAAGTCAAGCTGAAACTTGAGCTCTGACCAGCGTTGGCAGGAAGCAGAAATATAGAAAATAATTAAGGCGATTTAAAGCCAAGTACCAAGCCAATGTACTATGCGCTGGTGAAGGCTATTATCAGTAGCATATATATTTGAAGTCTCAGTCCTTAACCTCACTTAACCTCCAATTTATCATACTTCACTTGCTTTAGATGTCTGCGTTTTGATTGTTTAAAGTTCAGCGTCATTGCGAGTGCATGTATGGATTGAGCTTTACATCGCTAATGCAAAACAAACAAAAATAAGAAAGAACAACAGCACTGAGACGACTGCCCTGAGCGTATGTATGGTTAACAACAAAAATAACACAGGCCCGAGGAGCCGGAGCGTCAACGTCAAGCGTTACGCTGCCGATTTACCTACAGCGAAGCGCACATTAAATTAATTATTACTGTTAAAAACCCATAAAAATACAAAATAACAATAAAAAGCCATAAAAGTTACGCCGCCGGCAATCGAAAAAGTTGATTGGCAGTCGCATAACGCACCGTCCCTGCTCATATCCCACCCGCGTAGGTGGGTGAGTGGGTGGGTGGTGATAATATTTGGAAACCGAGCAAAAAATAAAATAAAATAAAAGCACAAGCCACACATGAAATGCATGTTAATATGCTTTTGATTGGATACGAAACTTCTTTTAATGGCGATGCATCCAGAACAATGCGGTATGTATCAAGAGTCGATGAAGAGGAAAAAAAGCCACCCACGATGTACATACACATAATATTTGCGCACTTTTTCCATCGGCTGACCAACTAATTAAATGCGTGATAAAATAATTACAGCACAGGGCTGTGAAAATCGAGCCCAGGTCTCGGGAAAAAAATCATATCAATTTCCCAATCGCCAGGAATAATGTGTTTTATGGAAAGCGTTTAATAGACAGAACAGCTATTAAATGCAATTTATTACAGCAATAGAAGGAACGAAAACCGAAATTTCCGATAGAGGAAGTGTAAGAGATATGGGAACAGGACCATGAACAGGATAAATTAATTAATACAAACTTAATATTAACAGTAGATCGAGCATATATAGCAGAAGTATCGACAATATCGACAGCCACTTTAAAAGCTCGGGGCTTGCATTTGGAAAGTTGGAATACCCATCGAGAAACTGAAATATTTTCATTAAAATTCGTGGCACACGCGAATCAAAATAAAAGTATATCTGTATAAATCGCCTGAGCTGCCAGCCAACAAAATTCCGCATTCCCAGAACAAGTATTAAAACGAAAAAAAAAAAAATTAGAAGTACATTCACTCTTAATTTTGTTTCTTTCTCGGCATTTGGACAGCTGGGTAGCTGGGCAATAGTTAAATTAGTCTGGCGCGGCCATAAAACAACGAGATGCGCTCCGGCCCCCGTTATAAAATATTTTATTGCCGGGCATTATTAATTTGTTTCATTTCATTTTATTTCCCCAGTAGACACTCGGACTCGGAGGTAGATAGGACAGCGGAAACAGAGCTCCACCATCAACTGGGAGACCTGAGACATACAATTTGCTGCTTCGTTGGTTTGTCTTTCGGGCTTCATTGGCGCCTTTTGTGGCGGGCGGCTTTCTTTTAATGACCTCGTCCAAGTGCCAAAAAACAGTTAACTTAAGGGGAAACTATAAAGAAAAGTTGATTCATTGGCGCCGTCATTAGACCTTCTTAAGTCCTCAAAGACCTCATTGTAAATGGCCCGAAAAATGGTCCGGATCTTGGCTAGTAAGGAAAGGTTAACTTCTGGGGAGCGACACTGAAAGCTTCAGTAATATCAAGCTGAGAGCCCCTGGAAGTGCAAAGTGAATTGTATTTCATTTTAACGTGTCCTTTGATGTCCTTTACACGTCTGTCTCTCCCCATCACAGGCTTACAGGCAAATCAAAAAAATGTCAAAATGTCAACCCAGCCAGTTGGGATACCATATACATATGTACTTTTGGTTTAA